CGAATCTTCATTGAGTTTGGTCATAAACAATGCTTTATAACAATTCAAGGGGCGCAATTGATGCCCATATGAATCCCTACAATTTGTCGATAAACTATACTGCTGAAACGTACATTAATGCTATCAAGGAGAAGATTCACAGCTTCAATCATCTCATCACATCCACAGTAAGTAATGAGATGACAGATTGTAGGCTTTAAATAAGTTGCAGCAAGTATATTTGCCATCATATTTATCAAACGACCATTTAACTGATAAGATTGTGTGGAAGTGTAGTGTAAAGAGTTGAAAAGTCAAAACTGTCAACAGAATGAAAAGGACCATCAAAAGAACGTAATTTATCTCACTCCAAAAATAGTGAATGCCATTATTTTCATATGCTTTATTGGAAAAGTTAATGATAAGTTCTTTGATAGTAGTTAAGGAAACGAGAGAGGAACAAGAGACCGAGATGAAACTACATTTTACCGATTTTTGGTGTAGTTAAGGTAGCCAATACATAGTAAAGCCTTCAAATGTTCAGAAGAGGCCTTAAGCTATGATGCGGTTATGATATGATTGTTTACTATATGACTCCCTGTGGAGCGCACGGGCTTAAATGTAGAGAAATTTAAAATTTCATTCTTAAGAACGTCCGTGTAGTATTTACGGCATACCACCACCACCACATTATTGGCTGCTTTGTCGGTAAGCACAAACCGCTTTGCTTTTGCTAGCAGTTTGTTTCTTATTCTAGAAATAGGCGTATTATGTACTTTTTTAAATTTATTTTCGAATATGATTAACATTCATACATCTTTTTTAATAAGAATCAAGAGATATTTTATCCGACTTTTCCCGTTTACAACAATTTTTACAATACGACGAAAGAGCGTCTTTTATGACCTGATGACACTGTTTCCAATCTATTTTAGATGGAGGACGATATTTTGGTCCCTTTTCAAATAGTTTTTAACCTCTAGGTCTTGAACGATATTGAGGTCCCCCGTAATAACATCACTAATCATCAGATGATAGGCGGCATTGATAATGTCATGAATAAGAGAAGAAGAGAATATGATTTTGAATATAGCGAGTAGAATATGTTCATTGTCATCTGGGTCATAGATATTCATAACAAGCAGTCAAAGCATGATGGCGTCTTTCAAACTTTCGTAGATATTGCTTTAACATTTAGAACGTCTAAATTTCAGAATATATTTTAACAGGTATATATTATTAGAGTAGGAAATACTCACCCGTCTTTAGTATCATGGGTTTTGTGAATTCGTGTTGGTCTTTCTCTAGATTTTGGTGCAATGTTTTGTTATTGTTGTTTATGTTTTCGTCGTTTTTCGTTTTGGTCATGGTGTTTTCTGTTGTTTTTTTTCTGTTTTTTTTTTTAACTAATGATTTCTGATTGTTCCGTGGTTACTTTTGTTTCTGTTATATTGCCTTGTTATGAGCTCTTGGAATGTCAAAAAGTATTTGTATAAAAAATTTACATGCAAAGATGAAAATAGCAGAACATTGTACTGGTTTATCGATGATAAAATATCGTTTATCCATTTTGAATATACAAATAAAGATAAAAAAAAAAAAAAACTTTAAACGAAGCGAGACGTGAATCGATGAACGATTCTAAAGTAAACGATTCAATATTTATTCAGAAAATTACATTAACCAATAATTTTCACAGAGCAATAATAAAAATTTCAATAAATCTGACAGCTAGAACGAAATAAGCTCATCAAAGATACAGGGATTATAATTTGTTAGGTCAAATGTGTGGTTCGTCTTCATTAAACTCATCAGTGGCTCTCAATTCAAATGCTTTGGAAGGCAAAATCAAATACCTAGTTTAAATTGAAACTCCCAAATCCCAAAACATTGTGCGCCAACAGTTTTGATGAATTTAAGGCACGAATAGCAATTTCATACCGTATTTGTGTCGTTTTTAAATGCTCAAACATAACAAAAGGAACGAAATTATATTCCCCATATTTAACTATTTCTACTTGATTAATTCTTCCCTAATAGATACGATCGTCAATTTCATTTCAGCTTGCAAATTTGTCATTTGATATTGTCACCTTTTAGTAAAAAGTCCTGTGAAGAGCTTATGTTAACTTGTACTAGTATGTTGAACTATGTGAACCACATTTATATAAAAACTTCTGCATATATCTCCTTCTTTAAAGTCCGCATGGAGATCTGCGATTGTTTATAGCTGATAAACTTGTGTAATTCAGTTGTAATTTCATTTATACACGTAGCATCATTTTGTTTGTATAGTAACGCGATCCCTAATAAAATAAGGAGAAAAAGAGAATTGAAAGTATTGTTTGGGAGAATAACAGTAATTAAAAATAAGTAAAACAATGAGGCAGCTAGATTCAAAAGGGACATTCAAAACACATAAGTCAAAGAAAAACTGACAATGTCACGGCGTCATGGCGGACACAAGTTAACTTAGTACAGTCTACAAAACACTACATAGAAAACTAAAAGCAGTGCAACGCGAATACAACCAAACACTTGGTGATATCAGGTGCTCCGGAAAGGTAGGCAGATCCTTCTCTATATATGACAACCGTCGAAAATGGGAAATGCAAAGCCACCAAATTAATTCAAAATAACTGACAAAAACAAGGAATTTTCTAATTTCTGTCAAATATAAGACATGTTTGCGTCAACATCATTTAGATGACATATTATATTATTTTAACTAATCAAAATGATAAATAATTTTCATGAATATATTGATTGATTAATTAGTAATTGATTGGTTGAAACTATAACACGTGATATTGAAAAATACATCGTATTTCCCCTCTTTACTTCGTGTATACTTAGCGGAACGCATTGCGCGGTTTTCCTCACATTTAAAAACATATTTCACTGCAAGCTCATTGAAAGCATAGGGTTTAACCGTATTTCAGGCGTATGATGAAATCTGAAAAAAAACATGTCACACAATGCATGATCATTTATGCCATGTTTTTATAAAATCAGGGTAATAAGAAAGATTACATTTAAATTACTTATAAGTATGCGGAATGAAAATATCATGTATCTTGCCTTAGGGAGATAAATATATAAAGTTCAATTTCAAAATAGATTGTTTACATAGTTTTGGAAATTTATCATCTTTTTTGTTTGCCAGGAAACGAGTATGGTTGCCTAGTTCTCTTTTAAGTATTCAATGAGAGGTACATGAAACGCTTCTCATCTTTTTTCAATTGATAACCTGCAGTCTAACAGAAGTGCATTTGTCTGTGTAAACCATACATCACAAACAAACCTTGACATAAAGCTCGGTTAACATGTCCTTTTCATAAAAGATTTTTAAAAAAAACATGATACCTAACAATAGGTGTGACAAATATGAAACAATTATGTCATTGATTTTTTTTTTAAATAGGTACTTGTTTTTTCCAAAAATTTCCTGGTTACAATTTCCTCAGTTGCCTAGAAAGCAGACTAAGGATCCCCGTTTACAATTAAACCAACTGCCCGGGAAGCAGGAGGCTAAAAAAAAGTCAACTTTGTTCTTTAAGATTCAACAATTTCAGTATTTATAACCAGAACAAAATAGTGTAATAATAATAATAATAAATATTCTTTTATATGACAATAAATGAAAAAGAACATCTTTCTAGAATGTAATACTAAATAATACAACAATATAACATAATCGAGTGCACCTCTAAACAATGGATTACCTAATACAAATTAAAGAGACATAAAAAACAGACCACATAACATCGTGACTGTTCTCTCCTATACGGTTTGTTATTATCATATATAATTAATTTATGTGTTTATTTTTTCTTTGTCTATTGTATTATTAGCTAAATAGCTGGGGACAGATTTCAGATTGGTTATCATGTATGATTTCCAAAGATTCAAAATATTTGTAGATGACATTTTTGTCCCATCATATTTAATTTTGTTTCTTATATTCCACAAGGACCATTTTGTAAAATAAAAAAGAGATTTACAAGTACGTTTTGGTTCGATTGACCACTGTTATCTCCCAAAAGCATAAACTGTTCTAGATTTTCATAATTTAATTGAACATTCCATAATATGAAAATATCTTTGATTTTACTAATGATTATTTTGGTTGTACTGCAATCGAAAAATAAATGTTGCAAATTTTCAGTATTATTTACCGTTTGGCAAATATGACATTTTCCGTTTGACAATCTCATTTTTTTAAGCCTACTTTCAGTATATATAATATTGTGAATGAATTTCCATTGGAATTCTTTTATTTTATTGCCAATGTTAGTTTTTTTCAGATTGTCCCATACTATTTTCCAATTAAAATCGTGCCCAAAAATTTCTTGCCATTTATTTTGACATTTTGGAACTATATCTTTATTAATTATGTCTCGAATACATTTGAGTTTCAATTCTTTAGGTTTGATTTTTTTGTCGTTTCTATCTAATATGAACATTTCATCAGAAAGTTTCAATTCTATGTTTGTTTTTTCATTAATATTTTTACCAGTTTCTAAAATTTCTATGAAATCGATTGGTATCGAACTTTTAACTCGTGAAAATTCGGATAAACAGTTTCTTTTATTCGCAAGTTTTTCAAATATAGAACTACAACTGTAATATTCGATGGTTTCTTCATCCCGATAACGTTTGAGCACTTACATAAAAAAATATTGATCATAATACTTGTTATCAAATTGTCGAAGCCAATACTTGCCAAACGCATTCCAGCTTTCTAACGGTTCACGAAGAATGCGATAATGAAACTTTATTTGTTTACTTCTAATGAATAAATCGATGCTTATCATATATGTCATTGATTAATGAATACCCCCTATATGAACTTAATTTACACTGAAAGAAAGACATTCCTTGTTGATTAAAAGTTAAAAAAATATATATCAGTGGACTTTATTCAGATTTTGGAGATCATACCAGAAAAATTGACAAAATCCCAAACAACACAATTTCAAAATAAATCTGATTTAAATCTACATTATAATGACTCTTACCCGGACAATGGTTGCACAGTTCCAAAAAACAGAATAACACAACATAATACAAGTAATTTAAAAGTCATTTTCACGTCTGGACCATGTCAGTAACATTGAGCGATTACGTCTATTTTCGGGTTCCTTTAATTTATAGTTTTGAGAACAGGTTTGTTGAAACAAAAAGGAAGTAAATAATCTGGCTGAGGTCCAATTATAAAATTAGAAAGCTTCTTTTAAATAATATATGATATATAAAAAGATTTATTTTCTGAATGGAAAATAGGGAAATTGGCTATAATATATTTGTCATTGAAATCAATTTTGAAATTCTACGAATCTCGTTTAATGTTCGTTTTATTTAAATTTCAGTTGTTTGATTACCAAGTATATCCTTTACATTATCTAGAGTAGTTGCCATTTATGAAAATGCATATTAATTAAGGTACTAAGGCATAGCTAATATATTATTACCAAAACACATGGTATGGTAATGAAAGCTTTAGTTATGAGACAGCAAGTCTGTGGAAGTCCTCACCAAATGAGACAAAGAGCCTACAACATATGGCCTATTCAAAATTAAAACTCTAATTGGTGTTTTTGAGAAAATTTAATTTTATGTCATGCAAATAATGGCATCCCTATCTACCTGCTGTGTGACATAGTTTAAAACTGTTATTACACTTCATTAATTAGGTGCGTCCGAAGCATATTAGTTTCTGGTTTTAACCTCCCAGAAAAGCTCAAACCCAAACAATGGAGTTACGATCTTTTAATCGTTCGTGTTCAAATAAGAATATGTGGTATGATTGCCAAAGAGACAACTACCTACCAGGGACTAGATATGTTTAATTTACAACAATATGTTTTCTTTAACTATAATGTTATATGTTCAGCATAGTATTGCTTGCATTGGCTTCGTGTGTTTTATTGCATAAGGGTTGTTTGAATTAATATGTGCTGCTTTGTATTGCTTGTGACTATTTCATATCGTGGTCCTTGTGAATGTAAATCAAGGAAACGTTTCGGAGGCATGTATCAAATGTTTTTGTTTTGTTTACAAGTATTTTCTAATAGAGATTTCCAATAAATGACATACGTACGTAACTCAACGTACGAATCTAATGGGACTGGTTATTGTCAACTATCGAATTTGGTTAAAGACGTCGCTCAAATTTGAACAAAGTATTCCATGACTTTTAAAATCAGACACTGGAATTTTCAACCATATAAAATATTTTATAATGATAAAAAATGACAGAAATCTTGCATTTATCACGTGGTTTTCATGATTCCCGCCTTTATTTTCACTGACATAAGATCACGTATAAACACACATATCCCTTACCTATCATACGATCGATTTGAGTTATCTTTCATGGTTTTGGATATTTTTTCAATAAATCCTAAACAAAATTTGTTTATTTATTATAACATGTATAAAATGCATTGATAAAAAAATTCCCTTTATAGGTTGTATTTTAAAAGGTGTGTTCGATTAAGGATTGTTCTGTGTTGTTTTCTTTAACGGGAATGCTATAGGAGTCCAAATACATAAGACATTTCCAGGCAAAATATGTTATATTCTTTATTGCATTTTATCCATTTTATTGATAAACAATTCATAGGGAGTCGCCGAATTTGTTTTGCTACATAAATCGTTAAGGGAATGTGTTCGTTAAGAAACAGAGAACAACATACGATAATAAGATTTCAATGCCAGATGCAGATCCAGGATTTTCAAATGTGGTAACTAGGCAACGTTAGGAGTTGAACATGTCCCTCCCCCTAAATCCACCTTTTGGATGCGCTATGCAGTCAAAACAGCACGCTATTTTTTATTTTCGATGTTTTATTCCCAATGCAGTGTAGATGATGATTTTGCTCAACGTTAAAATATAAGTATTAACAGGATGTAGTGCTATATATATAAATGTTTGCATATGTATTTTGCATATTGCATATTTAGGACGAGCAGATGAATATGAACCCGACTTTGTATTATATCCCTACCCGGACACATGATTCTGTCTCCGGACCGATCTTACTCCTCAGTATTGCGTGCTTGGCAGAGAGGCAGCCAATATTTGATTTGAACCGGGCGATAATCGAACCCAAGACCCCTCGCACTCGAGCAGTGGTGTAGCTTCCAAATTTTTTACCATTAATCAAGAGAGATAAATAGAAAATATATATCGTGTATTTCATAGTATAGAATACAGAGTGACGACGGTTCAAAACGTTGACTGCTTTACTCTTTACTCACTCATTTCTCATTATTAACGTCTTGAAAAAAAATATACTTCAAACTTTCTTTCATAAAATGAACAAGGAAGATGCAAATATCTTTTTTGAGGAACAGGCAAAGTATACCTTGTAAAAAACGGATTCAAAAATAGGTCATAACTGTAAAACTGACATGATGCTTGATTTTTTTTTGATAACGAACTTGTTACTTTAGGTGGACGTAGTTTTCAACAGACACTTGGCATTCCTACAGTGTGTGTGATCCTCTTCCTACTGACATGTACCTTGGTAAATATAAGCAAGACTTCATAGTTCGCCCAGTTATTATATTCCATGCATTTTGACAAAAGCTAAACGTTTAAAGGTAAAAGACATAGTGGATCTTCAACTTTAATATCACCAAATCTGTAACGCGTTTTAGAGGTCATACATATAATTCTGTCAGTTATTTTTGTTTTGATCAGGACCTTTCTGTAATTGAATACTGAGAATTTAACTATTAACCAGCAGTTTCATTGAAATGTATTGATTTAATGCGCACTAGAAATATTATCATTTCATGATAAAATTCCACAAATCTGGAATTTTTCATAGGCAGGATCTTTGTGACCGTGTGTGACCTATCAAGAGTATGACCACCTACCCCACCCCACTGGGGGATGGTTCCTTAGTGTTACGGGATGTACCAGTATCTACTCTATATATACAAGATTCTAAACAACAGTATAACATGCTTAAAAGATTCGTCTGTTTGGATGTGCGGGACGTATAACTACACAGCCACGTCCAGTAGAAAAGTGGACGTTCAATCACATCTAGTGCAAGTGCGTACATTAGCTCTATACGGTACAAAATCAGGGATCCATAGGGAGCCTGTTGCAAGACAAAATGTCTGCCCCTATGAAACTTGCTTTCTTTTTCCAGGTACAATTGAAGTTTATGCTGCTATCATGGTCGACCCAGTCTACATATCTATTGGATTATTTTGTTCTACTTGTCCTGAATAATCATGCCGTTTTCATCTCTTTATGTTAGGAAACAACAATCAATCAATCAAACCTATTATAAATTAGGATTTTTTTTTTTTGCATTTGTAATTGCTGAAAACTATTTTGCAATTCAGATTTTCTACTAACCGTCCCCTCTCTATTGGCATTGACGTCTTTTAACCAAGTTGAGGCTTTGACTGCCAAGATTCAAATCAATTGCCTCACTAGAAATAAAATCCAAGTTATGCTACTGTCGATTGATTTATAGTTGGTTAAATAACGTCCAGTAGCAAATATTTCATGCATTTCTAACGTGCATAGAGCGTAGCATTCTCTCTACAAGAGGCATCGGATTTAACGTCCCCACTCTGACCAGTTGTGACTACATACTTCTACATTCCGCGCAGCAAAACGGACGCCCCACTTTTGCAATGGTTTTACTGCCGGTCGGAACAAGACCAAAAGTGACCATGTATCTATCCCCGGTCACCCTTTGGAGCGCTACTGTCCAGGCGACCACGTTACCACAAGACCTAAGAGGTGCCTATGAATATGGAAAATACATATACATGTACATGTATAATAAAACAAATGCAACAAGAATATGTGGCCTTAAGACACCGTGCCCTTTCACATGATCACATTTCCATGTTCAGTGCACCACTTAATCCGGGTCAAACACTAATTTGGTACATAATTTTATACGTTTTATATTTTGAAAAGGAACAGAAGAAATGACAGATGCACAGACCAGTAAATATAATAATCCCATGCTATCATATGTTGGTCATAAAACTAAAATGATCATCCTACTTAACAAAACTTCAATCAAATATTCCGTACATGTCCGTTTTTCATACGTATTAACATAAGTTAAACGCCAAACATTTCATATAAACAATTTGTGAGCAATGACGTTTAATTACCCATATGTTTGCACAGACTCTTCCTAGAATCCATGCATCATTATAATTCAAGTCAAGAAATAAAAAAATAACTGATTTAGTAAAGTGTAATCATATTTTTTCTTGAAGGTGCATCCTCATAAATTCCATTTGATAAAATTCTACCGAAAGGTGACAAAGTACTATCAGATAGATGCATCAGTGATCTGAATTTATACCTCTGACAAAAGTATCTTGAAACAAATTATAGAAATATGCTATAAAAAAAGCAAGTTGTGTACACCTTTTACAATCCTGCGTGTTTAAAACTCTTGTTTTAATCTTATAACTTATAAATCAAAAACGAGAATATCATCTCGCTTCAGATTCCATAATTTTGATTTTTTCAAACTTCATTTTGATTTAGATTTAAGAATTCACACTCTGAGAAATAAATATATGGGTCAAGTAAAATGACGAATTTAAGTATAATGATCTGTGAATTTGATTACCGGTAACTGACCCAATTATTACGTTAAAAGGTTGCTGTCAATAAAATCATCCCGAATTATAACAAAATATGTACAGAATTAAATCAGCAGATTGTGCTTATTTTTAAATAGCGTCTATTCCAACAAAGTGTTATATTCAACGAGCAAAAAATTCATGCAGTCTATCCTCCCCTCCGTCATCCTTCAATGCAATAGGCCGCGATACGGTCAGAGAGGTCGGTTATGTCGAGTAATGTCATCTTAATGGAAATCTCTACTATGTTGTGATTGGTTGTGTAACATTTTTATGTAACAATCGGATATAAGTGCTCTAAAAAGGTCATGTTCTATGTTATTATGTTCATTTAAAATACCCGACTTTAAATACGGATTACTGACTTACTACATACTAACGTAAGTATTCCCTTCAAAAGGTTGTAAATAGTATCATGGAATATTCATCAGAAAACGTGTAATTATTTCAACAAAGATGCAGCTTACGATCATGTAAATA